GGGGGGGCAGAGACAAGGCTGAAGCAGCATGTGAGCTCAGGGTGGTGAGAGCCTGTTCCATCCTCGCACAGATTATCTTAAAAAGGGGATGCTCAAGGAACTTCAAGGCCATTTTGAGTTATTTTGTGATGGAATGAGTTCTAAAAACTCATCTGCTTCCTCCTGCAGTCCCATACGGGGGCTGAGCCCCCCATGACAGTTCCTAGTGAGAGCTGGCAACCTGCATAGGGCCAACATGTGGTAGCAGCATAGGGCCATGGGCCAGACCAGACCACAGGATGCGTGCCTGCCTTAAAGATCACTTCCTCAAGGGTATCATTTATTTATCTTTTTTTTAGCAGAATAGTGCTTCCTTTCCTGAGGATCAACAATGCGTGCTGTGAAAGAAAATGTATTTGTTACCAGGAATTTTTTACTTCAAACATTTATTATTTTATATTTCCAAACTCAATTTTCCTTCCTTCCTTCTCTCTTCAGGTATTTCTCTTATTTTCTGTCCTTTATTTCTCCCACTGGGAGAGTTAAACAAAAGGGAGGACATGGAAAGAAAAAGAAAATGTTCTGAATAGGACTTCTGGAAAAAGTTTTGCAGAATTCTTTCTTTTTTGCATTCTGTTTGGGGATTTCTGTGGGATCTAAGCAGCCATTTTAGCTGTCTCATAGCATTTGGAGTCTTGGGAGCACAATATATGTAGTACATGCAAAGCACTGACTTGTTTTAGATTAGCAAGGAGGAGAAATTATTCATTGCTACCAATTCCTGTCAAGTCTCACTTTAGCTAGAAAAACTCATTAACTGGTCTCATAAATTCCTGTAACTATAATATGGCAGATTGTCTTCATTTTATTGTGTTAATTCACTGGGTAAATTCTGCAGGGTTTTTACAGGAGTTCAAAGCCATTCTTACAGTGAGGGCAAACAGGAAAACTTATCCTGTTCCTTTAATATGAATTTTCAGTATGATGCTTGATAACATCCATGGTTTATACTGCAGGTTGCCATCTCTTTTGTACCTTACATGAATGTTCTCAGGTTGAGAGTCTGTATTTCTAAGGAAAGAGGCAAAAAAAAAGATGGGTATTTATTTACACAAAGGAATCTATGGCTTCATTTCAGGTAAGCAGAGACATTTTCAGAGTTTGAAGCACAGTAGGTGAGGCTTTTTCTGGAATCATTTGTTGTTTTCTTGTCCTGTGAACAGCGCGTTGGGTTTTCAGCTTCATGCAGACCTTTCTGGCAAGGCCAACACTCAGGGAGAAGACAGGGAAAAACAGGGAAAAGCAACACATTTGCACGTCTTATGCAAGATGCACGGGTTTATCTTCACAAAGGTTCTCTTGAAAAATTCATTATAAAATAGGAAACTCAGCTTGGGTATAAGCAGTACTGCTTCGGAAACAGCAACATCTTGGAGTTCAGGGTGTGCTGGCAGTTCCTGAAGCCAGTGTAGAAGGTGGCTGGGCTCTTTGCAGCAGCTCTGCAGCTGGGCTCAATCAGATACGCGCAGGAGAAAGGCAGACTTAGCCTTGTTTTTAAAGAAATAACATTCTGTTGTTTGTATGTCTGTCGCTCCTCCTTTTCTAGTACCCTAATTAAATAAAGGAAATGCCCTCTTTAAGAAAACCCTGCCCACACCCTTTACTGGCAGCTCCTCTGACGTCTACAAGCACAGAAATATAAACCACATTAGGACCGAGCTCCTTGAGATGAAATAACACTATTGATTTTGAATTGCACAAGCGATCTTGTGAAACAGAAACGACCCCAAACCACGACATCTGTAATGAGGTTAGCAATCAGAAACACTCAGCCTCATCCAAATGTGGGCTGTGAGTTTACATAAAGGTCAGTGCAGCAGATCCATTTTGCAATGGATGTGTTCTATAAATGTCACTGATGTAAAGTAGCCCTATTGCAGGAAGCATCTCCCATCTGAGTTCCACAGTGACTGCAAAAAAGACCATGGCTGTGATGGCTGCAGCTTCCGAACCAGAGCTGTCAGCCTTGCTGTCCCCAAGGCATCCATATCCCTGCACCCAGTTGCTCCCATTTCAGAAGGAGTGACTTTTAGGTACGTGTAAATCAGCAGCTAGATTCAGGTCTGATCCAGCCACCTGAGAAGAGCCCAGAAATGGACTTTGATCCAGGCTCTCATCCTGGAGAGTGGATTCAACAGGGCAGGACTGAAGCCCAGGTCTCCAGTCCCAGGGGATTCACCTGCCTCAAGTCTTCTCATTAGTTCATATGTTTTGTTGGGGTCTGGCTTTTCACCTTGCTGCCTGGGAATCACATTAGGGCCCCTCATTTTTCATCCTGAGGTACTCCAGAAGGATCTGAACTTAAAGAATGACTTGGCTGCCTTTGAAAATCAGCTGCACTGCTGAAACAAATCCAGATTGGAAAGTGATGCTGAAGTTTTACTCCCCTGCAATAGATGCTACTTTTCACAGCTAGGCTTGAGGGAAAAAGGGTCTTTCTCTCCAGCTATCTCACATTTGCACCGATGCTTGTCTTGTTTAACTGGGACATTTGTTCAGAGACACTGAGTGACACACAAGTTGTGGAAGAGTCTAGAACCTGAGCACAGCGCATTTTGTATCCAGGTCATCTTTAAAACCCTGAACAAATGCCATATGAAAAACAAACTGGTGTTCTTGGTCCAAAAGCTAGTGAAGCAGCTGATATAAAACCTGTCATCATACGCACTGTAGCCAAATTAGCACGAAAACTGAGCTATCTACCATTTCCATCCACAGAGGATGATTTTTACTTTCAGGCAAAAATCTCAGTGTATAGACATAAGCAGATGTGGAAACTCATCGTGTCCCTGTGCTGTCACTGCTAGAGACAAGCAGAAGGCATGAGCTTTCAGACCTCTTGACCTGGCACTGTCTCCAGGCTCCAGAACAGCTCTTGAAGCTGTGCTGTCCTCATAAGCAAATTCCTGTCTCATCACAACTAGCCTGTTACTGACAGGTTAAATATGTGAAAGGGAGAAGATAAGCTACAGAAAACTGGAGCAAGTTCAAAGTTACTCTGGGACAAAGAGAATTTGCCACAGGACTTATAAGCACAGGAGAGTTCTGAGAGCAGCTTGAAGGATCATTTCCTGATTGCTTGTATCTCCCCTGCTGAGGGATAAAGAAATCCCAAGGGCAGATGTTGACAAGTTCAGACATCAGTCAGGATCTGAGCAGTAGTTTGCTTTATTTTTGTTGTGTGTTTAGTTTGCTTTTTTTTAGAAAAATGAGATGACAGAATGAGAAAGTGACTTTATAATACTAGATCCCACTTTCAGTTATTTCTGTAGATCCCTTGATGACTGAGAAATAGCCTAGATGTGATTGCTTATCCCACTCCATTAATAATCTCTTGAGCCAGGGCACTTTCTATTTTCTTTCTAAGAAAAAAAAAACAACCACACACTGTTTGTCTCCATTTGTGTAGCTGCCGAATTCACAGAGGAATAGCTGCTCAGGCACCTTGCCCCCAGAACACACCAGCCTGAGCAGCTGTCATTTCAAGCAGTTTCCAGTCGGATGCAGTGAACTGTGGGTGCCTGATGGCAGCTAGGCATGCTGTGCCTTCACAGCCATCACACTTGCTGTCACCAGGGCCAGTCCTCAGCGACAGCTGATTCAGCAGGTGGAGCCCAAAACTCCACCATGTACTCCTCCTGACTTACACCCACTTAAGAAACCCAGATCCCAAGGCTTGTGGATGAAACCCTCAGCAGCACTCACAAAAGGCAATGAGGACAAATGTGGCCAAAGATGGAGTTGCGTTCCTCCTTTTCTGAAAATGCAGAATATGGAGAATCTCCAGAGCTGTGCAAAGCTCCAGCAGCTGCTACAGCCTTGGGGACCTCCTGACTTGTACCATATTAGTAAAGTGTGTTGTACTCAATCTGCCCTTCACACATCCCCTTCCTTGGGAAAGGCCTCTGCCATTCAGGAGCTGGCACATGCAGGGCTTAAAGTATTAGTGTGAGAGAACTTCAGCTGGAATTTGTGAGAGTGCAGATTGATTAATGTATTAATGTATTAGTATGAGGAGCGAGAGAAAATCTTGCAGAAAGACCTTATTTTCCACATACCCAGTGAAGATCTAAAGTTATTGCTATAGCAAAGCATTCCCACTGATACGAGGGAGAGCTTGAATAGCAGCAGCAGAATGAAAAAAAATTTTAAAGTTCAAATTCGCTGTCCTTTTTCCATTCCAAAGATAAAGAAAACCTCTGTTCAGAAAGTTCTGTACTTTTCTTTTGTCCACAAATCATTCTGCTGACAGTGCAAGACATGAGGGAAGAGGTCTGTCAGACTTTTTTAGTCAGGAGGTAGCACAGTGATGGAGTCAGGCATCCCTTTTAACAAGCCAGGCCCATTACAGAGAGCCTGTAAAAGTTCATTTTCCCATGCAAGGATCAACTGAGAATGGGCATCTTTCAATCAAGATGCTCTTCCCTACTTTTGAACACTCTGCTGTGCTCATTTATCCTTAATCTGGTGCTTCTTTGTAGGCTTTTTCTTTAGGTGTTGAGGTTTTCATAGTCTTCCTTAAAGACAGAGCAACAACTCGTAACACTCAGAAGAACCTTCCTATATAGCTCTGCTTCACGCATTTCTGCTTCAAATGATGATGTGACTGCCTAGGGAGCTGCTACTGTCCTAGAGATCCATCACACAAAATTAGCTTGGCTCTTTTGCAACAGTACCTGAACAAAAACAGCATCAATTGCATACCTCTCTCTCTCCTTCTGTGTGATTTAGCCCAAACAACAATATATTATTTTCTATTAATTGGATGTCAACTCTATTGGTGTGCTCAATCATTCTGACCCAGGAGTGCAGTTCAGATAGAATTAAGTAGGTAGCCTAAGAATATTAATGAGCACGTTTGTTTTCCAAACCCTTGTTTTCAGCTACAGAGATACATCTGACCATTTCCAAATACTGGACGTGGTGAATATGAAACATCTTCACCTCCTTCATATATCCTTTCATTTCCAACTGGCAGCATCAGTATTGCTAGCAAATTTTAGGCATGTAGCAATAAGAGGACAATCCGACCCACAGTTGAGATATGTTATTTAGGTGTCACCATACAATTTGTAAGAGTCATGCTGAAATGCATTTAGTCAGGAACATTTTTAGCCATTTGGGGTTATTTCATACTCTCTGAATTTTTGTAACTAAACACTGTAAAAACCCATCAGATAGAGCCTTTGTGAGTATTAATGCAGATACAGAGCTTAAAAGACCTGGCACTTTCATCATGAGAAATCAGTGAGTTGATCTCAATAGCACCATCAACTTTCTGCCTATTTTTTAACTGTAATTGAATAATAGGAAATGTATCTTTCTTTTGCACAGGTGTTTGAAAAAAGAAATCTTAATTTTTATGCCTCTGTGCTCAAGTGACCAGTCAAAGTACTAATGCTTTCAAATGGCTCATCCACTGCCAAAGTAGCCTCAGATGGGCCCTAAAATGGAAGGAAATACCTAACTTCACAAAGGTCTTTAGGAAATGCAGATCCTTAACATGATATATTGCATATTGTGAAGAACGTACCGTTTCCATCACACTTACCTCTGTTAGGCACAGGAGCTGTGCACACACACTCGCTGAGCTGTATTCAGGTCACATACTTCGGTATCCAAAATAGACACAGGCACCTGTAGGTGAGAGAGCTGAGTGAATAACATAACCCGTTGCCCATCCAAGAAGCACCCTGGCTCTTTAAATATGCCAAAGAGAATATGCTTGCATTCAGATCAGCTGCTATGAGTGACCCACCTTGGCACTGTGATTATTTTTCATCAGCTGCTGAGGGAGCCTGATAGCTTGTGATCTGAATTACCCACATCTCTCATACACAGACAACTAAATCACGATAGTTACAGTAGGTTGAAGTCATAATTCAAGCTTCAAAATATTTGATCCTGTACGAGGGTGTTAATAATTTTAACATTTCCCATTCATACGTGGCACTTCAGAGAGTCAGGGGGAACGGTAATACACTGAACATACGACTTTGAGTTTCTTGTCAAAGCAGTGAGCCTAAAAAGAATTATTCTACCTATAGAAGCAACCAGCACAGTGTCCAGCCTACCAGATAAATAGATTCCAATAATTTATCTCTTCATCATGGCAAAGAGATTTTTATTTTTATACCTTCTTTGCATCCAGATTTGCGTGACTTCAGAAAAGGAACACGATGGCTTCATCAAAGTATACAGCGGGAAGAAGAAAGGCTTTGTCCCCATAGACGTCTTAGAAAACATCTGATTGCAACAGCCCGCTTGCTGCAGTAGGAGCCCTTTGTTGGCAATGCCTGTCTGCCTCATCTCACACTGTGTCAATCCAGATGGGCTGTCTTGCAGATGTTCAGGGAAACAGTGGGAAAACTGCAACTACAAGAAGAAAAAGACATTTAGACTGCCGCAGCAACACTAAGAAATAAGAAAAGTGGAATGATTGAAAGAAAATATAGTCAGAAACCACTAGGGAAATGAGAGGCCCTTGGAAACTAATAGGAATAAGGTAAGAAAAAGAAGTCTGGGCTGATTTCTGGTGCAAGATGGCTATTGCAACCCTGATGGAAATGGACAGCTGTTCTAAAGGACTAAACTCAAGTCTCGTGTCTTAGAAAACTGTTGGACTACTTTCTTGTTGGAGATGTGTGTTTGGGAGGGAGGGACGAATACCAGTCAAACTGTCCTCATACTACAGCCCAAAGCTTGTAGTAAAGTGTGGCTGTGGTTCTACACTTCTGTCCCCTGTATCAACCAACCAGTTTAAGCGTTTATTCCTGATGTTAGTCTCATATCAAAGCAGTTTGGAGTCACCATGTGGACGTCAGTTCAAGAAGTGCACTGTGCCCTGGAGGTCAGCAGCTTTCTCTTTCTGTGCAATCTTACCTTATGAAAGAGTAGCGACCTTGTATGTCCTTTGTTTTCTCTGTATACAAACAAAAGCTCTCAGTGTGTGCCAGGTGTGATGGCTGCTCTCATAGCTCCCAAAAATGGCCTGCCCTGCAATTCAGGAGCCTTCTTGGAAGTGTCCCTCTGTGTTTCCTGCACCCTTATCTGGTGAGGGAGAAAATGGGAGGAATGCTGGGAGAGAGCCACAGGCTTGAAATGTTTTGTATTTTTCTGTGTTTATTGCACTTATAAGATTTTATATATTAATCCTATTTATTAAAAAAAAAAAAAAAAAATTAATAAGACAGTTAACTAACCCCCTGGAAGACTGAAAACACTAGGAAAGGACAGACTGCGCACAGAAGTGAAGACTGTACCTAAATCCAGAACTTGTGACAGTAAGGCACTGAGTGTCTTAGCATTGTGTTCACCCACCAAAGTCGTCATCTTCATTTGCTAAAATAGTTTTGCAGATTCATCAATAAATACACTGACATGAGTACCTCCTTGGCATGAACAACTGTGAGCCTCCCGTAAGCCCTCTCAGTCCCAGTGCAACTGAACAGACAAGTCTGGTTTGTCCATGCAAGCCTCCATCTTCAAATATATTTAGGGTATAAGATCTGGAGAGCAGTCTGTGGGACGTGTGGATTTTGACCAACCTATACAAGTCAGCCGGCGCCAATCGTGTTGCTGAGCAGGGCCTTTCAAAACAGTGAACCTAATTTCCGAGTGTTTAATTGGATGTAATTGCACCAAATACACTTTAACAGTTTAGTATGTATTACGACATAGTGATTAAGTCCTGTCCCAAAGCTCCCTGGTGAATTCACGCCTTATTTGACCAGCCTGAGATTGAGTGCCAGTCTTTAATACTATTGCAATTAGCAGCAAATGGATGTCCTAAATGCCAACACTGCAAGAAGAAATCCAGGTGCTGCCAGGTTAGTACAGGCCTTTGCAAATTTGACACTATTTCTAAAAAGATGCTGTCCGTTCTGCTTCCTTACATTGAGGCAGTTTGAATCTGTGTTGCACAGCCCAGGTCTCATAGTTGGGATGCCCAACAGCTGACCTTATGCAAAGCCTTATGAAATCCAGTGCTGTGCTACACATGACCAGAAGCTCACAGAGCAGATCAGGCTGCAGCCTCTCAGAGACACGTTTTGCAGTTCTTATCACTTAATTGCTGAGGAGGAAGTTACAGGGGTGTCAACTGTTGAAACATCGTCCTTTGTAATACAAATGGTCTACACCAATAATTCACATCCTTCTGGCTGATCAAAAGTATCTGATTTCATATCTCCCTCTATGGGAATATCAGCAATTTATAAATGGCTTTTCTACAGAGCAAACAATGAACATTTGCTCAGCTCATTCTCCTAAGTAACCAGCGAACTTAGTGGGAAGAGGGAGGATTCTGACAAGCCTTAAAGAATCAAGACAAAAAGTAAAGTCACGATAATCCACTCTGCTTTCTATGATTTTTATATATATATATTCACTACTTCAAAGAAAAAAACTCAAATGTTTGTTAGAATTGAAATATTTGCTATTTTTGATCAGACCTGTCAAGTGGGCAAAGGAAATCTGTATTAATCTATACATATGTGCTACTGTTTACATGATTGCATCATACTGTGATTCCCTATTTGAGTCTTCTATGATTTTAATTTGTCCCTACAATGTGCATCAAGAAAGAAAGAATTCAAAGATATGAACATTACCTACAACTCACAATGGCCTTCAATCAATGTCAGTTTGATTCCTTTTGATACTGAGCAATAAATAATAAAGTGATTGAGTAAAACAAAACAAACCCTACGTTGACTGCATTACGTCTGAGCAAGCATTGCTTCTGAACCAAAGCTTTCATGGTTATCTTTTCTTTGTGTATTTTTGTTTTGCCTTTTTACTGGGTTTTTGCTGCTGTTCAACATGGAGATGTAATTTATACCTAATTTAGCAAGAAGCACATACATGAGTCTTATTTAAGCATGTGATTCATTGGCTATTTGCACGCTTAAAGCTGAAGCACTTTGCTGAATTGAGGACATTTTCCTCAAATTAATTTTGGATGCCTTACTCTGAATCCAGATGAGTATCCCATTATTTTTTTTCCTACCATATGCAGTTTGCAATAGATACTGAATTAGCAAGCAGTTAAAAGAAGCTGGAGTGGAATTTATCTGACGTTTCCTCAGAAAATTTGAACTTTAGGAGATGAATACTGTTCACACTTAATATTCTGCTTAATAAAGAATGTGCAATGGTTGGAAGGAGAATAGAAGTGTATGTTTCTTGGCTTCAGCCGCTATCATTTTCAGTCAGCCACCTCTGAGAGCATTTACTACAGTCATCAGCAACAGACATCACTGAGTACTGCCATTTCAAATCTACAGCACTCACATTTGCCATATTTAGCAAACCATTTCTAAAGTGGTTCTTCTGTAATGTATGTAGCACGCGTAGACTCAGAGCGAAGTGTTGCAGTGCAGCCAACCCAATCATTTGTTTCTGACAGATCAGACTATATTTTAAGCCATTCAGCATCTCGTCGCAGCGTAAAATTGGCTGCAGAATATTTTGGTAAGTGCTAGGGAGATTGACCAATGTGAGCTGAGGGTGAACTGCCTGAGTCATGATTTATTCCCGTCCACAAAGAACACGGTATATATCTCAGCATATCATCATCCTGCTCTAACACCTGACCACTTTGTCTTGGTCACTTGCTTCAGCCACAGATGCTGCAGTGCACGGTCAGATGCAGACTCATTGCACCAGGGGGACTAAGACTTTGTAGTTATTGGTTGAGATTCAGTTGACTACCGAGTACCACTATAGACTGAGGAGGCTGCAAAGTAGTGGGCAGTGACACTGGAGACTTGGAAGAACCATGCCTTATAAAGAAACCACTGGGGACCATGTAAGTTGTCTAAAATGGCATTAAGCAGAAATGTTTGGAAAATGAACCCTACTCGTTTTTCCTAAATGTATGCAGACAGGTCTGATTTATTGAGCACTCAAATTACATTTCTTTCCCTAAAGGATACTGAATAAATGCAGCTCAGCTTATCAATCTTCTCTCATTTAAATCCACCATAAAAAAAAAAAATCTCTGAATGCCACAGGGAGCGAAGTTGAACTATTATGCTGGAAAAGGCTGGTCATTGTTATCATTCTTCCAAAACTCTATGATGTAATTTATCTCATCTAACTGAAAATGTCTACAGCTAAGCTAGTAAATCAGTTGGCTTTCCTCCTTCCCCAGAAAAGAGAGTTATAGGCACTTCAGTATTATGGTTCATGTGACCTACTGAAGCCTTCTGCTTTTGCTTGTTATATTGTGCCTCTTAAGTGCCTGTTTCTACCCATCAACAATCATGAGAGCCTTGGCCAGTGGGATGCAGAGCTCTGCAGAGCAAAGTTCTGTATCAGGACAGAGGAATTCCTAGCCCTGTTTTGTAGATATAATACATATATGTGAGTATTGTGTGCTTGTTTGATGGTTTTTATAACACTTCAGAAGTTACTAGTCATTACTATTAGAAATGAAAAAAAAGAGCTGCATTTTTGTCCCTACTTCCTTTTTATAGAATTTCATTTACTAGCTGGTGGGCAAGAGTGGCCTTCTCAGTAGAACATGTTGCATTTCACTTTAATACAATATTGAACTGATCCTAACAACATCCTAATTTAAAAACACAGAACACAGGAAATACTAGCCTGGCCCTAAGTTTACCTCCAAGTATAGTGCCTGCCCACAAGTCCTGGAAGCAAAAGTAACACACACTGATTGTAGTCCCAGGGAGGTTGGTTCAAGTTTTCATCTCTTATTTCAGACGCTTCAGAAAAACGTAATCCCAAATTATCATCCAGACTGTGCTCACTACAGTTTGCAAAGCAGGGTGAATATACTTTCCCCCGTGGGATTATATCATATTATATCATCACAACGTTGAGTTTTCCATAGCAGAAAAAGATAAAAATAAAATAAATCTGAATATAAGAGGTATATAAGTTATTTTTAAAACTGTTCTTTATATAGCAAATTGCCATGTGCCTGGGGAATGAGTGCTTGGCAGACTCACCACAAAGAGGCCCGGAAAAGCTCTATCAGGGCTGTGTCAGGTCCTGATGTATGTCCTTTTCTTGAGTAGCTCTAGGAAAATTAACATCACTCATTCTATCAAATAAGATGACATTCGTTTGGTATTTCACATATATGTACAAACAGACACTACATCAACACAAAGCTAGGTTGATATGCATATCCCTCTCTATATATTCATTACATTCAGTAATGGTACTCAGTAACGTGAAGCTGAAGGCAAGAGGACATTCCCTTTAAAATCTGTCACAACTGATTCTTTTCCTTATCTTAACATTCTCAGCACTAGGTTAGGATGGTTGTCAGCCCTACAAGCACTGAGACAGAGAGCTGTACAGGCAGAGAAGTGTAGCCCTGACAAGTATTAGCTGTGTTAGACAAAGTATATAGCATATAAACCCAGAGTTATCAGCAGGTGAACTGCAAACGTGCAATGCACCGAGGGCAGTCAAGACACTTGTTGCTCCAAACTGTGTGAGATCCATCCAGCAAAGGTAGGGCTGCATGCAAATGGGCAGCCTGGAAACGGAGTCAGAACAACATGTAAATCACACCTCTTTGACCCAGGTGCCTCCAAATAATGAGGTATGGAAAATAAAGGATAACTTCTCCTTGAAGGCTTGAAGGAGAAGAAGGAAGAGAGAGGGTGCATTCCCAGAGGCTTCGAATTAACAAAACACAACAACAAAAATGAAGCACCAGTCAGTCACACTATGAAGAAAGAACATATATTACCTTAATTAGAATAAAGAAAATCATCATCTGAGTAATTACTATGCTACCAGTGGCTTTCCAGCTGGTAGGGTCAGAGGTCAACTACATAAAACTACAAGACTGTGAGAGCTATTTCAGCTTTACATCACAAACAGGGAAAACTGAGATGTAGCCGAGGGTGAAACCTGATTTAAAGGACACAGCCCAGTAGCAGCAACTGAAGCAACCCCTTCAACATGCCCTGGGTTCCTGCAGCCTGGCTGGGGGTCTGGGGAGGATGGCAGCAGCCCCAGCCTCACGCCTTGTCCCCAGAGCACAAGGCAGACCCCAGCCCCTCCCAGCCTGCCCAACCCTAGCTGGCAGAGCCTCTGTCCACCACTTTCCTTCCAGGAAAAGGTCACAGTGTAGGCCAGCCACTGCATGCCCTTGTGTATGGCAGAAGAATGCCAAAATTACCCCTAGCAAACAGAAGACAGACCGAGTAGATAGGGTGGCTCTGCTCCCCAAAGCAGAGTCTTTCTTGTGTGTGTTGCAAAGTGCCCACCCCCTGGCACCTCCCTGCAGCACCTTTCTCACCAGCACTCTGAGTATCTCATGCTCTGTCCCACTGAGAAAAGCCTTTCAGGGCCATCTACCCAGTGTTTAACGCTTGCTGTGTTTCCAAATTCAAGCAGCCCTCCCACAGAGGCACCCTCTGCAGACAGGTTGGGAGCTCTCACTGAAGGTGGGGATGGAGAGGGAGCACGCCTGTATGATCAGGAATGGAAGGGGAAAACCAGATGCTACTTATTTTACCCTCTGGGAGAAGTCTGGTTCCCTAAGGCCCAAGTGTTACATGGGTCATACTAAATATGGGAGACAAAATAAACTTTTGTGACCAGCTCGTTCACGTTGTTTATTACTCTGTCAACATATTTCACTCCAAAAATGCAACATGAATGCAAATCGCCCTTGCTCTCTCTTGCACTCACTCCACATCTTCATCAGCCACTTCCCTGTTTCTTGCAAAGGTCTCCCTTCCCCAGCCTTTCTCCTGCAGCCAAAGGCAATACTTCTTCCAGAGACAATTCAAGCTACAATGGGACATTCCTCTCTGCAAGATGTTGGGTTTGGCTTATCTGCATTCAGAGTGTTTACCAGAAGTTTCCCTGCCACACGGTTCTCACCGTGTGTCCACCAGTGTCCAAGCAGAAAGAAGAGAGAGAGGAGCACTGACCTTCATTAGTGAAGAACCTGACCTCCAGCTGAGCAGAGCCCGGCTCCACTGACATACTGCAGGCAGTCAGGTCTGAAAATGGCCAGCACAGCAATTGTTTGCAATTCATTCCTACTACGTGAAATCCTTCCTGAACTGCAGGGTCACGCTGGATATTTTTCTTTTCCTTTCCCCTTTCCTTTCTCTTTCGTTTTCCTAAACCATAAACCTCAATACACACTTTAATCAGAAGTCACTAGACCTCAAATGGGAAGGAAAATGATTTAACTGGTGGGGCTGAGTGTGATCACACACAGCACATTTGCTTACCACTTCTCCATGCTTGCATCCAGGCCTGAAGTACATTGTCCTTCATGAGCAGGCAGACAGGACACTAAGCTGGCAGCATCAGAAGCATGTCTGCTGAAGCAAGAAGCAAGCCCAGGCTGCTATAGCCCAAGGAGAAGGTTACCCTATAAAAATAGCATCCTGGCTTCATCTTCTTCCTTAACCATGGATAAGGAACTTCATCCAGTAGTACTGGAGCTATCAGGGATTTAATACTGTGGTGAGACAACCTAGAAAAGCAGACTGGAGCACATACTTTTCTTCAGTATTTACCTAGTTTGCAGCATTTTACTGCATTATTCTACCTGTAAGTACTGAAAACAAAATTATTCCCTGGCTCCTAGCCATCATCTTACACAGCAGCTCTTGAACTGCTGTAGACTAACTTCCTCTAGAGATGTCTATGGTTCCGTGGCTTCTAGAGGCTACTGTCACATGGACCATTACTACAAATGACAGGCAAACCTACTTCTCTCACATGCTGAAAAAAACTCCCAGGAAAGGATAAGCAGTTTAATTCCCATACTAGGAAGTAAATGACATTTTCCACCGCCTTTCTTAGAAGAGCCAAAGGTCTTACATTCCCAAAACAGAAGAGAGATTTCTTCATGAAGACTACCAAAACCATCTCTATGTTCCTTTTTTCCCAGGTCACAGTGCTCTAGATTCGCTTCTCCAAAATCCCAGGGGCCTTTATTTTGGCTTGCATGACACTGGTAAAGATTGCAAAAATATAGTTTGCCTCTCTGTAATATCCCCTCCCTCCTAAAAAAAAAACAAAAAAACCCCAAAAAGCCCACATCATTAAGTCAGAATAGCACAGCTGCTGCTGCTGATTGCATGCTGGAGCAGACAGGTGGTCCTTCCTCTGACAGCAGTGTGCTTACTCCTAGTCTTTTGTTACACAAAAGTTGCTAACTGAGAAGCAAAGTCCACAATATCTTGAGTTTCAAGAGTTTTTCA